TAGAGAGCTGCCCGTGGGGGGGGGGGGGAGAGGTCTGGTGTCAGTTACACCATCAACACCAGACCTCTCAGCTCCACCCACCCGTTCCTAGTCACCCAAATTCTGATCACCTGCACCTGGCTCATTAATCAAGGATGCTCTCTATAATAATCAGTCACTCCACACCTCACCCTTGTCCAGTCTCATTGTTTACACTTGTGTTGTAACCTACCTGTGTTACTTACCTACTTCAATCCCTCTGCAAGTCTTCTGTCTGCCATCATCCCACCAATCACCTTGGAATCTTATCATTATCCTGCCATAGAGAAAGATTGTTACCTTTCAGTTAAGTGTTGTTATCCTTCTCAGTTCCTCAGCTACTCACCTGGTATCACCGCTTGTGCTTACCAGATCCTGTTAATAAAGTTCCTTTGTGTTTTGGAAATCTCCTGTGTTGCCTTCTTCTGTTTTCTAATACTATGGTGAGAACTATGAACTTTTACTGGTATTGGTACAGATCACTGATTTCTTTTGTTGTGACAACACTTTTTGTAGTATTGTGAGATTATCAAATTGTGAATTCAATAATGGGAATTTAGACCTGTAACCATTACAAACTAAATAATTTAATGTTTTTCATTATGTGGGCTGAAAATCTACAGAGGAGTCTGGAAACGTATGGAGTTTTGTAATGGAAAATGTGTAGGAACCCTGACAGTAATATAAATTTTTATATACAGGCCAATGATGCCTCGGGAAACACCTGGAACTGGCTGTACTTCATCCCTCTCATCATCATTGGCTCCTTTTTCATGCTTAACCTCGTCCTGGGTGTCTTATCAGGGTAAGTTCAACATCACTCTTACTCTCTCTATTACTTCCGATTTCCTTATTATTTATTTATTTTTTATGAACGCACTGACAAGGGCCCCCTTAAAAAGTTTTGCTTAGCTTGTCCCACCCTTGTGTTGGTAAACAAGTCATCAGAAAAGAGAAGAGATTTACTTTGATTTATTTAGAATAAACAATGCAAAATTCTTTAAAAAACAATCATATATATTATATATATAATAAAATAGGTAACATAACATTTTTATAGTTACGTCATCTTTTAAACAATTTTGTATATTGTTTTAAAAAAAACACGAATTCTAATTGCTTAGGAAAAGGTGCAAAGTGACTAAAACACAAATTCAAATAGTCTGTTTATCAACAGCCTACATTGGCTTATTTTCAATGTCAAATAGAAAATGGAGGAATACACTGCAAACACACTGAGCTATGTAGATAAAAGTATTGGGATAAAGTCTTCATCAGTTTACATTATGCATGTTTATAGTTGGGTGTAGAGAACATTAATTTTATAGTGAAGATGATCTTGCACGTTTTTGTTCCCTCATCTTCCATACATATTTTGAAGTGTCCATGTCACCAGGGGCACTGGAATATCATCTTTTTGGGGCACTGGAATATCATCTTTGATGCTTTCCATTATTGAATGCTGAGAACGTGATGTAATGCTCATGGTGTCATATCCAGATGATGGTGCTTTATTTCTTGGACGGCAGAGCCATTGAGGTACTTTGACTGCAGGGTTCAGAGTTCCAACTGAACTGGTTGTGTCAGACAATGAATCTCCACTCACTGAAAATACAATAAATGTTAGAACGTTTAACGCCGTCAAAATAAAAGTCCTGCATCGAATGCATCGGCCAAACAGAAAAACTTATCGGCCGATGCCGATATTTGAAAAATGCCAAGGCCGATATATCGGTCAACCACTAATTACAAGCCTGTTTCGACTGCACTGATTGGAGTTTTTTCAAAGCTGCTGTCACTGATCTGGATGAGCTCACAGATTCTGTAACATCATATATCAGTTTCTGTGAGGATATATGCATTCCTACCAGGACTTATTTAAAGCTGCAGTCCGTAAGTTTTGCCTCTTTGTCGCCATCTCTGTTTGAAAACCTGGAATTGCAGCTGTGTGCGGAATTATCTAGCTTGCGTGGGTTGTGAGTCAGCGCGGATGAATCTAATGTTCTGAAGAGTATGTGTGGCAGTCAGTCACCGCACCGGTGTGGATATTTACTGTACATCGCAATCACAGATTAGCCTACGTCTTGGAATATTACCCAAATAAGAATTTTCACCGTATATTGCCATCTGAACAAGTAAGTAACAAGTTTGCCACGTTTGTTCTGACCAACTGAGGAAAAAAGCATAACCATAAATCTCGCTACCAATGGTGATTAAATCTAAAGATCGGTTAGCTCATAGCACATCAAACCATTCAAATTATTATTATTGTTATACTTTATTCTCAAATGATTAAT